CACAAATAAATAAAATAAAATAAAAAAACTTGACAACCTAATTTTAAAAAAATAATAATAAAATAAAATAAACCTCCCCTAAAAAACAATTCAAACAAAAAAATACAGTAAAAGCAAAAAAGACCAAAACCAAACAAGGCTACTGAATTTGTGCTAACAATCTGGCTCAGTTATCTGAGAAAGTCAGAGGGGAGAGCCAGATAATTAAATGTGACTGCACATACAGCACCACTGAGAAAATGCATGCGGCCCTGTGGGCCTGGAGGGAGAGAGAGAACGTCTGATAACAAATGTGTGCCACACCCTAGGGCCAGTGATGGCTTCACAGGTGTACATATGGCAAATCTTCACACAGTCTACACCTCAAACAGTTCACTGTTTATCAGTTATACCATAATGAAGTTTTTAGAAAATTTAGAGTTGAGAAGAAGCAAACATTGTTTTGAAGCCTCCAAGAAAAACAGAAATTACCCATACAGCCTTCCTATGGGCCAGTCATCCGAGCTCTGCTAGAATACAGTCAACTCACACTGTCTCCCTGACAGATCCCTGGTCTCTACCATATCAGGATGTTTCCTCAGCCTCCATCCAGGACCTCATCTGAAGCCAATCGAGCGGGTTCTTGGCTTTCACACTTTGTCCTTTTGTCTTTGCAGGACCACCTTTCCTCACTTCTCTCGAGGCTCTCTGGGGCTAGTCCTTCTGCACTTTCAAACCCTCCTCACTCGCCAGGCTTCAAGTCCCCTCAACACCTTGGTGGCTGGGGAATGAGTCTGAGTTTGTATCAACTTTTCATGTAATGCGATACAATGAAGGGACTCCCAACACTCCAGGTCAGTGTGAACTACAGAAAATGGGATGACCACTACCAGATTTCCAGTCTGTTTTCTAACAGCACAGACTAGGACCCAGCAGTTTCGCTGGCAGCCATACTGGCCTGCGGACTCAAACAGATGCTACCCTAAGGCGTTTTCACACGCAGCCCTCAGCCACTTTCCCTTCCATCCAGTTCTTGCCCCAATGTGTTCTAAAACGCAAATGTAGAAATTTAACATTTATTTATATTAAATCTTTCACATTGCATTTCATCTACTGCATAAGCCTTGTAATTCTTCTGCTTAAATACTTGGGTAATAAAAACATTTATAAACACTTTCATCCACATGGACTGGAACTTACTTAGGCACAAAAGACGCGGGGACTCCATTGGCCACCAAGGGCTCAAATGCCGAGTGTCCACTCCCACTGCTATCGTGGCGCCTAGATAAAGTAAAACCTTCTTAATGAAATAACACATGACTTCCCTTGCTTAAGTATAGTCCATTTCTTTCTCTTTTTTTTTGGCGGAACCAGAGATTTAACTCAGACCCACGCGCTCAACTCTACTGAGCCATCTCCCAGGCCTCTATTCTATTTCTGAGATCTATACCACCTTCATGTTTCAAACTCCTAGACCTCTGCAAGGTAAATCAAATCGAAGACTGCCCCGATAATAAATGTAATAAAAAATATTTCAAGAGATTTTGAACATATCATTAATGTTAAGAGTATTATAATCATAAAATAAACACTTCCCAAATTAAAAGAAAAATTAGGGACCAATCCACACTTCCCACTGCCCCAGAGGGTAATATGCCAAATGTGTTACAAAAAAACTGCATATCACACGTAAGAGTATGCATACAGTACACTGCCTATTCCAATTATGGGAATACCACCACTGAATCCTGGGTGGAGAAAAAGTATCACCTTAGAGAACATCAGATGCCTAGGTGGCTGTCATTTCCTTCCCACCACTTGCCACTTCTGCTAGCTGGTTGACATTAGCACCAACTAATGTCCCTTGCCACAACTGCAATTTCTATCTTTAGTTACCATTATCTGATTTTCCTATGTTACATAAATACATTTGCATTTATGGACATTTTCCTCATTTCATTTTTGTCATCTACAGTACCAAAGATGTTTACCTTTGAAACTTAGGGTATAAACAATTTATCCAGGGAGTGGAGATGATGGTTATGTTCTTGAGTTCTGGGGTTCACTTGTTTCTTTGGTGAGCTCTTCTTTCACCACTTTCAAAAGCAAGTCCTCTTCTCATTGTCCTCTACTGCTATTTCACATCTCCATACACTTACAATCTATAATTGCCTTGTGTATTTTGTCATTTTAAACAATTGCTTGGGACCGGGAGATGGATCAGTAGAATAAG